TATATATATATATATATAAATATTTATCGATGCATTAATATAATAACAGATAACAAGGAAAAACAGATCTATTCTTCCAATGAATAAAGGTATTCATAAAATTCGTTAAATTTCTAATGAGATATAGAATAGGAACCTTATAAGAACAATACAAATACCAAACTACGATATGTATACTAATAATAAAATTATATTTGAAAGAAGCTCACTAATAAGCATTTTCTATTAATGAAAATATCAAAATAGAAAATAGAGATTAATCTTTCAAATCATTTTCATAAGAAATATATATATATATATATATTGGAGATTCTTTCGTATAATATTAATAATAATATACCGAAAATATAATAAATGATAAGATGTTATCGTCAAATAAACCAATAGCAAGCTGACATACGTAGTGATCTAATTGACAGCATTTCCTTATTAACTACTATGGCATAAAATGGAAAAATATAAAACCTTCTTTCAAGTATCAATTACAAATTCTTGTTATCTTAATAACACATTAACATTATCTCCAAAATTCTGTTATACGTAATATGGAAAAGTATTTGAAGACATTTATATGTTGTCTTTATATACAATATACGATGATACTTGATATAATAATACCAACATTTTCAATTATGTTTCAATCAATTATGTGCTAAACACATTTATTACTAACAACTCTTCTTTTCACCATGTAATAACCAACATTTCTACCACTTCTGCTTAAGCTAACAGCTTGTTTATCAGCATGAATTTGTTTATTATTGCAAGTTATATTTCTATTATTCAATTTATTCCATATTGTATACATAGTAGAAGCATTAATTTTGTGTGTAGTTATGGAATTTTTAAGTATACATGGTTCCAATTTTCTTGGCGCGTAACTAAAACCTGGATGATTAGTAGGATTTATTTTTGCATGTTTTGCACAAAGACCCGTAATGTAAACGTCTTCTAAATGGAGTAGAGGTGTTGACAAAGCTGCTTGATATAACTTAAAAGCTGTGTCAATACTCATTACATATCCTGTACCTGATAGATAGTTTGGATAAACCTTTTCAGGATACATATACTTTGGCATATACCTAATATATAATAAATATATAATGTAAATTCACCTAATAACAATCAAATTAATAATATTCTCAATCTTTTATAAAAAAAAATACTCACCATTTATTTGTAGGATTTAATATAGGTCTAGCACTACAAATAAGAGATCCCAATAAAATATCTTTAGATTGTGTTCTTGCCTGCAAGGTTTTCATTAAAAGAACTATATTTACAAACATATCGTCATCCGTTTTCATAATAAATTTAGCTTCTGCACAATTAGAAGTGACCCATTTTAACATCATAATAGATTTTAATGTTAAATTATTATAAGTATCAGAAAACTTTTCTTGTAATATATCATTAAACAGAAGACTTTCTTCTAATACAAGACTCTGTAATTAAAAAAAAAACCCCACACAATATACAAACATTCTATTTGTCAACTTTAATTTTACTTAGTTATATATATATATGTATATGTATGCAATTGTACGTACATTGAGTGTATCATTATCACTTTGTCCCAGAAGAAATGCAACTTTAACCGTAGAATTATATAAAACATTTAAATTACTTTTATTAGCCCAAGTATTTCTAATAGCCATTCTAGCATTATAATTTCCAACTGATGAGCAAATAATTACAATTAAATATGGAGGTGGTGAACAAATAGCGATTGGACTTAAAATGGAAGTGATATTATCCGGATGAATGTAATTTTTTACATCTCTTGAAGTGTTGTACGTCCAACCAGGTAACTGTGCTGTAAATTAAATACCTTTATCATAACTACATAAATATAATTAATAAATATCACATTAAAAGATAAACATGTTACATTCAATTATTGAACTATTTTATAACTGTTTATGCTATCATGCACATGAATTTACATATACATATATATATATCTCTATTTCTTTTTTTCTTTTTTTTCTAAATTTACTATAGCTCAAGCATTCTACAATGTAATTCTGTATCAATAAAATTCATTCATTCTTGTGTTTAAATTGTATTGCAAATTGCATTTGAATATTTCTAAATATATGCACTATACAAGGTGCAAAAGCTTTAAAGCAATATAAATAAATAAAAGTATTGTGTTTTTGAATTGTGAATATTGATTTTTAGGTATTGCCATATTTAAAGCACAGAGTGTAATGCATAGAAATTTGATAACTATAATGAAAAATAAATGTTCATAAAACATACCAGAATGCGAACTTATCAATGTACTTTAAACCTGTTTAAAACCTGCCAACGATAACTAAATATTTTAATATTACTTTTTTTAAATACACAATACAACTTTTCAAATTGATTTTAAAAACATCGTTGATTATTTTAAATGACATTTAATAATCTTGCATTATAACAGCTCTATTGTAATATCTATGAGTAATAATAAATATATGTATTTGAGCAATCAGATGCAAAAAGTGTAGATTGTGTGATCAAGCAACATTAATGAATGCATACCTACAGTGGCTACCAAATGTGAACCACTGAGAAGCTCTGTAGGGGACGGAGTCTCACCTAAGCCTACAAATGGACCCTGAGCTGAATGATATGCTGGTACATATAATAGGCCTAACACAGCCAAAATTACAAATCCTAATATCATTCTTTTGACAAAAGATATTTTAATATTTCCTTTGACGCTTCCAGTATTGTTTATGCTGGTGGCAGACGGCAATTCCATGCGCAACAGTCGAAGTCTGTCCATCTATGAAAAATATAATAATAATGTAATAACATGTAACAATATTCATACACACACATATACATTGTTACAAAAATTAAAATTAAAATTTGTACATGCAATATAACCCATACTTTTTATTTAAAAAAAAAAAAAACTATTATTTATTTATATTAAACTACATCAAAATAAAGATTTGTCAAACCGAATTATGACATTTTAATATAAAATTGACATTAACGATCAGCTGTACTTGGCAACAAAGATTGAATAATCTAAACGCCGAATAATAACTAGGATGTAAACAATAACTTACTTTTGAAACGCGATGAGCACGTCATGCCGCATTTGATACCACTCCATTTACTCCTTTTATAAGGCTCTACATAAGAATATTCATTCCATCAAGTACTCGAGTATCGTATACTTTAATCAAGTAATGACGCATAGAAAAGAAAGAAAAAGTACGAAGGCTGTGGGCTTTGATGCAGATCTTCAATATATCATACTACGTATATTACACTATACACTTTTCTACCACCACCTCTTCATCTTTCTAACCACTATGGTTCACTAACGGTTTGGAAACTCCCCTCTTGCGGAACACCTACTACTAGCGCCATCTACTCATCTCTATGCATCATCTTGCGGCACTATACAAAAAATTAAATTATTGTCAATAAAAAATTAGAATTGAAATATTAATAAACAATTTTGTTAAATTAATAATGCTAATAACTAAAGTTTCTATTGTTTCATGCATTTGTTAAGTTGTTACGTGATAATCTAAACGACATAACCTATTAACAAACGACAATTATTAATAAAATTCTTTTAATGTATTATCCATTCTATGAACTGTTATATATTTTATGATATTAATTTGACATTATACATACATATATATATATACTGTATGAAATAATTTATCTATTATACTTGTCTAATGTTGCATCACAATATAATTATGTATAATGTCAACTACGAATTTTCTATAAAAATATCTTATTACATTTTTCTCCATTTAGTTTAATATATTCGGAGAACATTTTTGTTAGATTTTTCTTATATATATATATTATCTTGTTGGAATTTTAAATATGAACGAATCTGGATGTAATTTATTGACAACGTATGCTTTTAAAGGAGGAAAAGAATATGTCGTTAAAATGAAAGTAATGGCTTTTAAACGATGTCAAAGATGTTTGGAATTAACGATAACAGATAAATTTACTGCAGAAGATTGGAAATCATCTTACGATACTGCATGTTCGTTATCATTTTTATTTTGATGTTATAAATATTTGTTTACTTTAATAAGATTTTATTATATAATATATAAATTTTGTTACAATATATATATATATTTATATTAATACTTATATTTTCATTTTTAATATGCCAAGATATTGAAAATTTGACCCACAAAACGGGAAATTATAAACAGTTTGATGTGTTTGTCGCAATGCTACAATCAGGACTATTAAAAGTAACTTTGACATTATGATTCCATAAATCTAATTTATATCAACATCAATAATAATAATAATAAGTAATTTACAGACAAGCGAGTCTATTACATTGGATTTATTAACTTTTGAAGATCTAGAATTATTACGTTCTCGCAAAGTTGATAATAATTCTGTTTCGACTATAAGTAATAAGTCAAACAACAGACGATACCTTATTTTAACTTATACAGTAGAATTTGATCGGTGAGTAAAAAAAAAAACAAATTAATCTTACTATTTTGTCTGGATATAAGAACAACCATGTGGTATTAATTGAAAAATAATTTCTGAATATACCCAATGTACATATGTGTTTAGTGAACTTTTTTTTATTACCTCTTATATCAAATAATAAATACAAACAATATGTATAAAATTAATCTCTATGGAGGTAAAACAAGTATTCTCGAATATAACAACCTTAAGAATCCACTATCCTTTGCCCTTGGAATACTGTGGTTTGCCTGATTCGACAATATTGCAAGCGACGATAAGAAGATTGCAAGCAGAAATAGAAAGATTAAATTCCACTGGTATGAATAAAGATCTTCAAAAACGTATAGAAACGCTTTCAATTACAAATCAAAAATTACTTGAAGAAAATCGTAAGCTCTCTAATGGAGGTATATACATTATATATACATTATATATATATAAAAGGAATCAATGAATTAGTATTAATCCATTTACATTATTTATCTATATTTCTAAATAATACAGGAAAAGGTATAAGAAAATTAGCTAGTGCAATAAGTGCATTAGAAAACAGCGTTGCTAAAGAACGAGCATCATTTCGAGCACAAATTCAAAAACTTCGTACTGAAAATGCTGCCTTGTCTTTAAGAATACGTCAGCTTACTGAATCCACTATCAGAAGATCTCGCGATAATAGTCCTGCGTTAAAACGTCGAACTCCACCACCTTCTTCGTACAGTCGTCGTTCCATTAATAGGAGAAGTAGAAGCCGATCTCCTTCTATTTATGGTCATTTTAAAACGTCTAGTTTGTCACCTGGTATTACAAATAATTTCAATTTCTTATCAATTCAATTTGATAATATTAAAATAATCATTATTTATATATTACACAAAAATTACAGGAAGTTCGATGGAGTCGTTTCAAACTAAAACTTCTTCGAATCGAAATATTACAAAATCACGTTATATATCCTCTAAAGAATCAAGTTTGTATTAAATATTTCTAACTTTTTTTTGTATTATTATATTAATTTGATATTTTTATTACAGAAATTGATTTTGGAAATTTGGAATCAAGAATTTACACACTTCAAAAAATGTTAAAAGAGGGAATTAATCTGAGTTAAAAAAAAAAAAAATAAAATAAGTACAGTGATATTTATTCTTTATGTATATATACAAACTAAATACACACATATATACCTTCTCTTTATTTGAATTAAAATTTTTATTCATTTTTATGATAATTACAAATTATGCCATTATTGATCAAAAGACTAGAGTTACATGCAAAATAATGATGTGTTGGCAACGACAAACACATCTCATTCATCAAGATTGTTAATTAATTWATTTATTTTTTTTTAACTTAACTTTTCTATATTATTTGCCTATGAAAAAATGAAGTACAATGATTTTATAAAATCTAAAATTGATGTTTATTGTAGATTTTATATTGTATATATTCTATAATTCAGAAATAAAAAAAAAACTCAATGTAAAATAAAAAATATATGTACGAAGTACCTACAAAGAAACATCCTAATATAATATGAAAAAAAAAACAAAAAAGCAACAACATTCTGATATTTCATTCACAACAATTTTCAATATATACAAAATATATCAAATACATAAAAACTATATAATATTTTATAGCAAAAGAAATTTCTTATTATTAACTAAAAAAAAAAAAAAAACATAAGAAATCTCTATTGCTAATCACATGACGGAAAAATATCTCCGTGTTATTGTACACAATTCAAATAAATATAAATAATTCTAATTACCTAATTCTATCTATCAGCTTTAACATTATTTTCATAATATGTTATAGCGCGTTGAACCAATGACTTTTTTACTTCTGTATTATTGTCTGTTGCTTCTGTGCTTATTGTAGTTGTATTTGTACTTTGTGATTGATCAACTTTTTCCACAATTTCCGTTAACACAGGTTGTTCAGGTAATTGATACTTCGTTCGTTTTGCTAATTCTTTTATAACATCTTGTAAATAATTAATATCACTTTGTAATCGTGTACTATTATTTTGTAATGATTCGATATTATTTTTAAATTCTTGTATCTGTGCATTACGTGCCTCTTCTTTTTTTATTTCTTTAGCAACTTGACGATTATATTCAAATATTAAACATCCACCAGCAAGACTAAAAATAATAACTTCTCCCATTAAATTAGATCCTAATTCTATTGCCATAGCTTCGTTTAACTTAGCTACTTTTGTTGGTTTTCCAAGGTTCATCATATACATTTTACCTTTAACTTCTGCCCAATGATAAACTGTATCGTAAAAAGACATTGATTTTTATTAAATAAAGGTTCATTATATTTTACCTTAATATATTATATATGTTAAAACGTTAATACTTACATTGAGCAGGTGGAATAATAAAGTATGTACGAAATACAGGATGATTTTTAGCTTGATTAACTATTAATTTAGCCAAAGGTTTACTAATTTGTTTGATAAGTAATACACCTAATTTAAGAACAGGAAATACCCCAATAGCCATTCTTTCTTGTGATTTTTAATGCAACACATCAATCCTTTTTTTTTTCCTTATATTCTGAAATTATATAAATTAGATATTAATTAAAAATGAATTTAATATTATAACATATCATTTTTATTAGTTAACCAATCGTTATAAAACAAAAACATATCTAAAAAAGATATCATCGTGCCAAAAATATTATATTTAATTATCCTTGTGAATGATTATTACCTCATCTCCAAAGTTATTTGAAAGTACTGTAGACAGTTATAACTTCATTATTATATAGATCACTATCTATGTATTTTTTTAATAGGAATGCTATAAAATGAATAATCAATTAATACATCAATTACTTTATTAATGATAATTGTTAAACATCTTTGTCACTTGCACATACAGACCTTTTACAAAATACTATTACATAGCCATTTTTAATATTTCTTGATATCTTATAATCTAGAACTAAAAATACTAATGTTTATCTTCTACTAGATTGCGATTTAGCAGAGAAAAGATTTGGGAACTAGACTTACTACAATTTGCTATGTATATCTGATTGACCAATAGAAACGCTTTTGTTTGGACAAATTGCATGATAAGAATTGGCGCCATTTTCAAGTTGTTCCTAACAATTTACTAGAAAATAAATTTTTAATATAAAAACGTGTACAACGAATTAGATTATTATTTTAAATTAATCTTATTCTATTAATTTAATTTTTTATAGTAATAAAGAATTCACAAAATATATCAAATACTGTTTATCTAATATTAATTATACATAATGAGTGTACAGGTTACTCTGTAGATATTTACATTCATATTTTAATCATTTTTAAATTTTAAATCCTGAATGTATAGCTACTATACCACAAGATAAATTTCTATAACTGGTATTTCTGAAACCACTTACATCTATCATATGCTGAAATTATTTATAATATTTAAATGAAATTGGATTATGAAAATATATATAAATAAATGATAGAAAAATAATAATTACTTTAAAATCTTCTTGTTTTGGAAATTTCTGTATACTTTCTGCAAGATACTGATAAGGTTCCCATTGCCCAATGGCTAATGTAGCCATCACTGGTATTACTTGAAAAGAGTATCTTTCATAAAGCCTACAAAGAAATATTATTCTAACATACATTTTAAGTTTATCTCGAATGTATTTAATAGATGTTATATTTACCATTGTAACATATCATTTTCTAGATGAGTAAATTCTAAACATAGAAATCTACCTCCAGGTTCAAGTACTCTATATGCTTCTGATAACACCTAATCAAAATCAATGAGTCTATATTAAATATTTATTAAATTATATCAATTTAAATAAAAAATGATATCTTAGAAGTAACATTTCACTATTAACAATAATATTACCTTATCAATGTGAGTAACATTTCTTATACCAAATGCTATCGTATATGCTGTAAATGATTCATCAGGAAAGCTAAGATTTTCTGCATCTTCTTTCTTCCATTCAATATTAAAATTATTCTCTTTCGTATATCCTAATCTTTCTGCTCTTATTTTACCAACATCTAACATATTTTCATTTATATCTGTTACCATTACAGAACTTTCAACGTTATTAATATTCTTAGTATTATTTAAATAATCTAAATATCTAAACGTTATGTCTCCAGTTCCAGCAGCACAATCTAATAAACGAGTTCCATGTGTAGGTGCTAATTCTTGAATGAATATATCTTTCCAAATTCGATGAATACCTAAACTCATTAAATCGTTCATTTTGTCATAATTGTCTGCAATACTTTCGAACACCGTATGAACTACAAAAATAAGAATATAGTATATATATTATTATATATAAAATATATTTTATTAAATAGATAAAATATAGCAATTTTTATATTATCAACCTTCTTTAGCTTTATCTTCTTCTTTGACTTTTTTAAAACCAAAATATGTCGTCCTTTCGTTATCATCTTCATTTACATCTGTTGCTTTAGAATGATTGTATTTATTATGAAAATATACATTTATTAATTGTTTACGTAACATTTCACACATTCTCTTATTAAAATGAAGATACTTTTGAGTCAACATTTTGATGTTATATAATTGCAATATAAAAAATTAAATTTGACAATTCTTAAATTCTATTAATATCAAAACAAAATATTTTTGAATATTTATAAATATTCAAAATTTATTGCATAGATTATTAAAAATCTTCTATATTAACAAAAAGTTGTTTTTATCTTTATCTCTTTCAATATACTTAGTTAATTTAGAAAAATTACAAATGTAAATTAGAAACTAAGAACAAATTCATTTTTTATAACCTCTATTCCAATGATTCAACAATTAATTATAATTTTAAATATTAATGAATAATCACACAGTTACGTAATTAATAAATATATGTATATATCAATTTAAATCATAGATATAAATAAATATAAACATTGCATTATATGTAGTGTAATTTGTTTGTATATATGTTGTGTGTGAAATCCATGAATAACTAGTTAATAATGACTGACAACAGAGGGCGCTGACAACAGTAATTACCGGTTCATAAATTTATGTATGAATGTATTTACTATGAAAATAATATATTGAGATATTTATTGTTTAACATTTTGTAATACTATGTTTATTTCAAATATAAATTCATTATCTTTCTAAGTGATTATACATTTATTCAATCTATAATTAATAATTTCAATTTAAATGTCGAATGATACTGAATAAATATTTGTGGTTAAAGTTTTTCGAAATAATTCAGGCAAATGAATAAAAATGATTCCATGAGTAGATATGGACCACTCGTCGGTGCTATTGATGAAGGCACTAGCAGTGCTAGATTTTTGGTATGATATTCATATTTATTTATGATTATTATATCTTCTCTATTTATTGATCCATATATGCATTATATTGATATTTTGAACTTCCAGGTATTTGCTGCGGAGACAGCTGAAGTATTAACGTATCATCAAATTCCAATAAGTCAGACTTGTCCAAAGGAAGGATGGGTTGAACAAGATCCCATAGAAATCTTAAACGCAGTGAGAGAATGTCTTCGTCAAACTGTATTTAATTTAGAACAATTAACTATAGATCCGAGTGATATTGTTGCTATTGGTATAACTAATCAAAGAGAAACAACTGTTGTATGGGATTCTGTTACAGGAAAACCATTGTATAATGCAATTGGTAATGATTTGTTTTATTTGTTTAATATCATTATTATTTTGATAAATCATTTTTTCAATGTATTATTTTTACAGTATGGATGGATATGAGAACTACTTCTATAATAGATGACATGTTAAAAGGAATATGGAATCGAAACAAAAACTATCTAAAGTCACTCTGTGGTTTACCTATTAGCCCTTATTTTAGTGCATTAAAATTAAAATGGTTACTTGAAAATGTACCAGAAGTTCAAGAAGCCTTAGCCAAAGATCAATGTATGTTTGGGACAATAGATTCCTGGCTAATTTGGGTTAGTTTATTGTTTTTCTTTCTACAGATGATAATGATGGAGTTTAAAGTACTACAATGATAAAATACCTTTATCAAATATAATACTCTATCTCTGATATAAACCTAGAATTTAACTGGAGGAGTAAATGGTGGTGTTCATACTACAGATGTTACTAATGCTTCGAGAACTATGCTTATGAATATTAGAACATTACAATGGGATCCAAAATTATTATCATTTTTTCAAATACCACCAAGTATTCTGCCACAAATACGAAGTTCGTCAGAAATTTATGGATATATCCAGGATGATATTCTTCATGGTGTACCAATATCTGGAGTATGTAATATAATTCTATTTATTCAAACATAATTAAGCGTATTTATAGAGTGGATATTATATTTCAGTGTTTAGGAGATCAACAGTCAGCACTTGTAGGTCAGTTATGTTTTCAACAAGGACAAGCTAAAAGTACATACGGTACTGGGTGCTTCCTTTTGTACAATACAGGCACTGCTGTAAGATACAATTGTATTATTAAATTATTTTGTTAAATATGCAACTCATCATAATTAATTAATATTATATAACAGATCGTAGATTCATCTCAGGGTTTATTAACAACAGTTGCATATCAATTGGGTGCAAATGCAACACCAGTTTATGCTCTTGAAGGTTCTATAGCAATTGCTGGTGCTGCTATTAAATGGTTAAAAAATAATCTTGGAATATTATCTAACGCAAAGGAAAGTGAAGCTATGGCAGAAAGTATTTCTTCCGATAATCATGTCACTTTCGTTCCTGCATTTTCAGGTTTATATGCACCATATTGGAGAAAAGATGCTAGAAGGTGAATACAAATTATAATTCTTTCTTAAAGTATGTTATCATATATACATACATTTTAAATATTAAAATAAATCATTTATTTTTTTAGTGTTATATGTGGGCTAACTGAGAGATCAACAAATGCTCACATTGTAAAAGCAGCTTTGCAATCCGTATGTTTTCAAATAAGAGATGTTTTAGAAGCCATGAAGAAAGATACAGGAATAGTATTATCTAAGTTATTAGTAGATGGTGCCATGACTAATAATGATTTATTAATGCAAATGCAAGCCGATATATGTGGTACACCAGTGAGTAAGTAACTATTGTATGTAACTAATATTATCTTAAAATATCAATTTTTTTTTTATATATTATACGAATGTATAAACAAATAAACCTTTTTACAAGAAAGTCAGGCCTTTAATGGCTGAGACAACTGCTCTTGGAGCTGCAATAGCTGCAGGTAGTGCCGAAGGTATACGTAAATGGGATATAAAAACAGGATCAGTTGTACCGAGTGATATTTTCTTACCTTCTATAAATGAAGAAGGTAATTAACATATATATATCAATTAATTAATGTCAGCGTTAAATTGTAAAATTCAGCTAAATCGTTCATTTTGTAGAAAGTAATATCTTGTACTCCCAATGGAAAGAAGGTATTAAGAGAAGTTTAGGATGGAAAACAATTACTAATACAGATGGTAACAAAATAATGAAAAATATTACATTATATATTTCTATTGTATTATAGCTAACATATAGAAAATATATACATATATATATATATATATGCAAATATCAATTTACAGATGATTTTAAAGACTTACATAAAGCAACAGCACCTGGTGTATTTATAATGGGTACAATAATTTTACTTGTCTTTGCAAAGTATCGATCATTCATGTAATAGAGGCTTGTAATTTGTTAGTATTAAACACTGATGCATTTGTGTGAATTTCCAAGAAAAATCTAAATATTAAAATGCATTTAATGTAAGTAATGTTATTCTGTTATCAATAATGTTATATTTAATTTGTTCAATATGGAACTAGTCTTCTCGTGTAGTGTTATTGATGACCGAAAACAAATATGATGTGGTATACTTTCATATATAACGCTTGTTATTTAATAAAGTATTACAAATATCATTTGGTTTCTGAATAAATCAAAGAAAACAGCTTATTTTTTTATTTAAAATTTAAATAGATGTAATATGCATTTTATATTGAAATATTTAATAAATGTAGAAAAAATAAATTAGGCGTAATTAAGTAAGTATATTATTGATTTTTGATACGATAAAAAATGATAGTCATATTTTTTAGTATATAAAAATAATTTTATTATTTAATTTATTAATAAAAGTTTTGATTTTATTTATTATTATTATTAATATCATTCATTATAGCAGTTTGTAATGGAACATCAACATCATATTTAAATGTATCCGTATTATTATTATTATTATTATTCTTGGAATCTTTTTTATCTTGTATTTGAAGTAAATCTTGATCGTTTGTTGTTTTCATGTTTTTTACATGATTTTCTTCAGATTTAATTTGTTGGATTTCCAGTGATACAGATGAATCATTCTTTAAGTAAATATTTTAATTAATTATTATATATTATTTTTATATATATATATATATATATATATTAAATAAATCTTTTCTATAAAGATAAAATTTATTACCTCTATTTCATTTACATCAGATGTTTGCATAGCTACACTCGACATAGTTAACCATGCGTCTTTTTTAATATGATTAATAAGTAAACGTTGACGTTGTGCTACAAGTATACGACTGATGAGGGATTGACAAGTTTGAGATACATTTGGTTCTTTAGGAAAGGTAATCTTGTTTTGTACTTGCTAATTTCAAATATTTAGATAAGTAAAAAATTCAAAATAACGTATCTATACCAGAGATAGATAATTAATAATGTATAATAATTGTTAATATAGTGGGATACCTTTAAAAGGAGAGTATATTTCGTATCATCAAAAGGAAGTCGTCCATAAACCATAGCAAAAAGTACTACACCCATAGACCATATATCTGATAATTGTGGTTGATATGGAATACCTTTCAATATTTCTGGAGAAGCATAAGCATAACTACCACAAAAGGTTTCACTGAGAGGCGTCGTACCATTTTTTGGTTTCATATGACCACGTGCAAAACCAAAATCAGATAATTTAATATTCAAATTAATATCCATTAACAAATTCTCACATTTTATATCCCTAAAGGAATGACTTGTTATTTTTTAGAAATATATAGAATTATAGAATATATTTAAAATGAAATATTTACCTATGAACTACACCTCTTTCATGACAATAATCAACAGCATCGAGAAGTTGACGAAACCATCTACGACTACGAATTTCATCGATATAAGTATCTCGTCTTATGATGTCGAGTAAACTACCATTGTCTGCGTATTCCATTATTATATATACCCTTTTTGTTTATAAAATATTGTTTACAAGAACTTGTTTATTATTGAATATGAATATTGATATATTTTAAAAAGTCTTTTACTAACCGATGCGTTGTTTCAATAGCTTGTAAAAAACGAATTAAATTAGGATGTTTCAATCCTTTAACAACCTCGATTTCACGTGGTAAGAACTTTTTTAAATAATCACCTGGTGCCTGAAATTTGGAAATTATTTTTATGGCTACTCGACATTTGTGCCGTTCTGACTTTGCAACCTGCATACAAATTTATTATACATGTGTTATTTCATTTATATTATTCCTTTGTAATATGAATATATTTAATATGAAAATTATTTACTTTGACTGTCGCATAAGAGCCCACACCAATTACGTTTCCAATAGCATAACCATGAGATTCCAGTACTGTTAATTTTTTATTTGACACTTCTCCATATTTAACATCCAAATCTTTCACTTCGTTCGTCACTTCGGTCTTTTCTGGTGGTACTGATGTCATTTTATTATTTATTATAAATTAAATTTTAAAATCATTATATATAGTGTTTGTAACGACTGTAACAAATCATTCATAATATCTTAAAATATTAAATAACAAATTATATGTATAGCAAAAAATAATATGTCATACCTCGTATATTTTTAAATGTATATTTAATTAAATTTTAATTTCATTTTTATTGTGTTGATAAATTAATCATATTATTGATGTTAAACGATATTCAAAGTTAAAGACATTTTGCCACAATTTGCATGAAATAATAGACATTTTTGTTTGTTTTTTTTTTTCGTTTGATGGTTACTTCAAAATAAATAAATTAATTCGTCTCTTGTTAAATTAATTGTTTTGAAATAAAACTATTTAAAAGAATATCTAGAAACTATCCATAATTACAAATTAATTTCATTTAAAAATTTTTCAAAGTCGATTTGAAATATTTTCCAAATTTCATTACCAGATGGCAGTAGTGTATCGAATTAAAAGAGGTTATTATTGGTGATGACTTTCACTTTTCAATCGATGATTTGGATTATAACCAATCATAGATCTAATATTAAATTCTTATAACATTTTATATTTGTTAAATTTGCCGCTAAATTTACTTAACTACACCTACACTGTAGCGCGAATTTAACGTTAGTTGATTGGAGACATTTTAAATTATCTACACCAATCACGTGTAAGTATATACTTATAAAATACCTAGATGTCAAATTGTACCAATCATCTTCCAGAGATTTGGGAGCCGGTTTTTTATTATTATACATAGGAACAAAGAAGTTTCTGATTGCATATGGCGGCAATCTAACTCATAAGGTGGTTTCATGTTTGGCAAACGGGTGCGAAATAGATATATTTACCATAAAAATGTCAAATTTAAATGAATATGACGTCTATAGAGGATCAGACTTGATCGATGAGGATACTTTGAATCATATACGGCAAGAAGCAGAGTAAGTAATTGTGTATAATCCATTGATTTAAATTGCGCATATAAACATTTCACAAAATATTTACTAATAATATTTATTTATAATGATCATATATATTTATAATCATATATATCATATGTATATACGTATACGACTATTATTAGTAAATATTATTTTTTTAAACATCACTGTTGCAAATTAATTTACATATCTTAAAAGTCTTTGTTTGTGTCTTTCATTGTGGCTTAAATAGTTAGTCTTTTGTGTTAACATTTTGTAATAAGTATTACATAATTTACTATATTACTTAAACTTTTTATTTACACGGTAGATACATTTCTTAAATTATTGTATAAAAGAAAATTGAGATAATATTTAATTTAATTATCTTACAATAGATACAACAAAAGATGAACTAAATTTAATTCAGACAACATATATCCATTCAAAAATTAAACAATTTTTCTATCAAAATGATTTATAAATTAGTAAATACATATTAAATAATAAGAAATGAATATTGTAAATTCCTTCTGACATGTTCATTTATACAGCATTTATTTAATTTTGATGTTTTATCCATACCAAAACAACTCAATGTCTTTCCAACTTTGTTACATTGAAATGATACCATGTTCTGTTATATCTTTATTTGTATTAATCTTTTCAATTGGTATTTATCTTAAACACAAATAAAATAATATCATCGTTGTTGATTATTACAAAACATGGATTATTTTTTTTATCTATGCTCAATCATTCTTAAATATAATGATATCCAATTTGTATTGTAATTTCAACTGAAATATTTTTCTTTTGCATGAAAACAATGGCGGAATTTGGTATTTGCTACAATGAACTTTCGAGTTCCTAATGCCAGTTAATAATAATAATAATAATAATAATAATATTTTTCTTTTAATATTTATTGTATAATTGAAATCTATGCATATTAATGTACTAAATTTAGACTAAAAATTAAACTCTGGCATTAGAAACATTTTTTATTTTTTTTCAAATTATTACAGATCACAAGGCTTAACTATGTTTGATGTAGAAGACATACGAGACGAAAAGTTTCATGACCACAATTATTCAAATCAAGAAAATATATTGGAGGATATAAACATTAACCAGTTTAACTCACGATGTGACGTGATTCCTTCAAATGAAGAATTTCCAGGCCATCTCAATTTTCAATTGCAATTGCCTAACCAAAATACATCAAAACATTTGATGGTGAGTGTTTTAATTCATTATTTTAACATTATTTAATGATACTGCAAATATTTCTCGTTTGCATTTATATTATTTATTTTATTACGAATCATTCGTCCGTTTTTCTTTTTGCCCATTATTTCATAATAATACATTTTCAATTATTTCTAAATCATTCATTTCATTTTGAGTTGTAACTTTTGGTTTATAATAATATTAACTAAAATTACTTATATTATTTAAAAATATAATCATTATTTTTTATTGATTTGTACAATAGAATTTTGTTTGTTTTTTTTTTTTTTTATTATGATTTATTGCAACTAATAAATGAAAACATTTATTGTGCTGTCTCGTATCAAATATATATATATATTTTTTTATTTATTTATCATTATAAAATTTGATTTATTGTTTTGTCTTCGAATTGAATTTAATTTGTTGTATTTTTTGTTATTCGAAAATTGTTTTCTTTTTTTTTTTTTTTTTTTTCTTATTAATGTAATATATTCCTTCTTGCAGATTAATTCTGCTTTTGCCCCGTATTGAAAAAAACCGATGATTTTCTTGCAAGTTTTTATTGCAGTTACAATAATGCTCAAATGGAATACTCGTGAGCGACAATGTCGTGCGTGAATATACAATTACAAAGCTTACAAAAGCACTGAGAGGAAGAACAAAGGAAGATATTTTGTTCGAAAAAGAGTATAAAATTATATGTGTATGCATTTGAAGAATTTTTTGGGCATAGAATTTTTTATACGTAAGGGTGCTGTTGTGTGTCTTAAACAATAATTTATAAATGCAAATTTATTGTGTAAAAAGCAGTATGAAGTAGTCTAGTAGTATTATAAAATAGTCAGCACATATTTTATCGAATTATCACCTTTCCAATATGTTAAATTCTCTACGCTTATAGATTATTTTCTATTTTTCTTTTCCTACAGTACTCTCAGATTCTCAAAAAAGTATATATAAATATGGAACAAACATTACCTATACGATTCAAATGGGACCCACCTGTGGATGGCTTATTTCTCCGTACTACAATGCAATTTAGTTTGGATCAATATAAAAATGATCCAGTACATAGATGCCACAATCATATGGCTATGACTAATAACAGTAATCAAGACGTAAATCCTGGGATTGTTAAGCATGTTGTACGTTGTTTAGAACCAGCGAGCATGTATGAAGATAATAACGATCATTTGTCTGTAATTACACCATTGCGTACACCACAAGTTGGTTCACAATATGTGCAATTATACTTTCAATTTTTTTGTAAAAATAGTTGCACATCCGGAATGAATCGTAGACCAACGGAACTTGTTTTCACATTGGAAGATGCTATGAATGGAGTACTTGGACGACGTAAATTATTAGTTAGAGTTTGTAGTTGTCCAAAGAGAGATAAAGAAAAGGAGGAAAATGATACTACAGATGATATATCTAATCAAAATAAAAGAAAGCGTAAAAGTACTCCGAACAATAAAACAGTTATCTTACCATCATGTGATACACATGTTTATAATGTTAATTTAGATATTGTTGGCAAAGAAAATTATTTAGCCGTTATGAAATATGCGTATGATGTTATGGCTGGTCAAGCTCTACGAACAGGACAGTCAGAATTTTTTAAACCATATATGGACAGCATTTTACGTAAAATGCCGTAATTTTGTCATTCAAAATTTGAAATGTGGTATCAGAAGAAAAAAATGTTACTACAGATTATATGCTGATGATGCATAAGCAATCATGCTGATCAAGTCTTTGCGGACAGGACAACTGGAATTTTGTAAGCCTTATATGGACTGCATTTTACGTAAAATGCTATAACTTTGTCATTCAAAATTTCAAATGTAGTATCACAGGAGACAAAAAATGTTACTATACATTAGTATAAATCATTGTTTTAATAATAAGATATACAAAATTTTAAATAATAATAAGTATACATACATAACGATAATGAAATAATAACATTTGATGATATTGTTGTAAGAAAACGAAAATGATTAATTATATCATTCGATTCATGTCTTGAATATTTTTTACTTAAGGTATTTTTTAAAATTATGGATATAGAAAATATTCGTATAATATTTTAATGCATGTTTCTTTTTTTTTCTTTATAATTAATCGTATTTTTTATATAATACTTATCATACGCATGCATACTTTTAATACACATAAGAATTAATTAATTAATAAATATTATTACCTTTTTTTAATCTTATGTTTTGCATATTCCCAATTCACTGTAATTTATAATAATTTTAACATAGATTGTATATATTTTAAAGATGTCTGGTAAAATTACGGTACGTTCTGGTAAACGTAACACAGGATGTTTAAGATCTGTCATTTCTCTAATACAATTAATTTCTGTATTAGAATGTCCAAATGCATTAGCAGACCATGTAAAATTTCTATTAGTTCCTAATACATCCATCATCCATATTAAATCTTTTTCTACCTACATACAAGAGGGAAAACAAATCAATACATTAAATATTCGATTATAATAAATAAATAAATAAATAATAACATACCTGAAGAATAAATATATTGTTCATATAATGCATCAGAAAAATATCATTAGGTCCATAGATTGATGGAATATCTATTTTAAATTTTCCATCACGAATGTGAACTATTTTACTATTATGATACATGATTAAATGATCCAATAATTTATTTATGTTTAAAACAATTTGACACTTTTTCTGTATATAAAATGGACAAGATAACAGTCTACTAATCGTTGATGAACTTAACACTCTATCTAACATAAAATTCCAATCTATGTACATGCTTCTAAATTGAATGCTAATATTCGATTGTAGTTCACGTTCGTCAACCATTTCACGATTAACTTGTTTTAATGGAATTCTACTGGTGCTTGCTGATTTTAGTCGATCGTTTAAAGTCAATCTTTGTAGATTATTATTATTATTATTATTAGTGACATTATTAGATTCTAATCTTGATAATTCATTGTTGCTATGTGTTGCCATTGCAAGATTTTCCGTAGAAGCAGCTTTTCCACCGTGAAACAATTTAGTTAATAATGATCGTTTCAATTTATAAGAAACATTGGTATTTTTCTCATGTAATTTTGTTATATTCAATTTATTAAGATTTCCAAACAAATATTCTGTTAGATTTTTACTGGACGATTTATTAAATTTGTCAACTTCGTGATTCGTATCAAAAATATCAAAAATAACTTTCCAAAGTTTTTCAGCAAGAAGACAACGACCATGGCCAAGTGGTACTCTACACATGGGACATTTTGACGTTCTTTGTTTACATTTAAAACAAATTATATGACCATTGATACATTGCGAAATTGGTGATACTGCACGTTCCAAACAAACTGGACATTCTAAACAGCGTAACTACAATTTTAGACAAATACATAAGTAAATGTATATATTAATTTATTATCATTATTTATTATTAAAAATAATTTTACAATTTTAAGTACAGCACGTGATAAACAAAACAAAAAAATATGATAAAACTTACACATTCTGAAAACACGTTAGCAAATTTACTAACTATTTCTGGAAGTGGTCTTTTCCAAGCTACACCAGTGACTTCTCCACTCTCCAATGATTGATATTCGTATCTCCAAATACGAAGCATTACATTATTTCTATCTTCTTTTGCTTCTTTTATCAAATCAGCAATATCTTTTAATTTTAAACCCAACAAATCGATATCATTAACGTTAAGTAAGCAATCACCTGGTCTACGAAATAATACACACACATATATTATTGTTTTGTTAAAAAATAATCACAAATAAATGTATCATACTTTCTACCAATTATTTACACAATAATATATATACTATCAGATTCTATATAAATTATTTCTTTATAGAAATCATATAGGACTACTTACATATTGAATTGTTTTATTAGAAAAATAATTGTATTTTATAAAAATTATACCTTAATCCTGCTCGATTAGCGACACTTTCATTTTCAACGAGTGCTATCCAAGGATATGCATCCCACAAAGTTTTAGTCAAATGAAATCCACATGAAAGTTTATTATCTTTCGAAGATGATGGTTCATTTATATCGTGAAATTGTAATATGATAGTCTTAGCCGATGAATTAGACATTTTTGCTATTTTTCCAGCAGCTGCTTCAAAAAACATCTCCACGTCGGATGAGTCAGACATTATTTTCAAATGATTTTTCGCATTAAACGATTTGAAAAAAAATATATTTCTTTTTTATTACGGCAGCGTATATTTTGATTGATAAAGAGAAAAATTAATGAATTAATTATAGTAAATGTCTTTCTATTCTTTCTCTTTTCTTTTCAATATAATATCACAAGAAAAATATTCAAATTCTTCTTACAAATGTTACACCACCATGTTGTTTCTCTTATTCTATATTGAAATTCACTATGTTAAAGTTACGAGTGAAATGAGAGTTTAACAACTCACTAGTTTACCTTCACCTAATTATTTGTCCTTGACATTGATGTTAACATTCTACGATTGCACGATGATCGATATAGATTACTTTTGCTCTACTCAAATACTTATGTGATCATCAGACATATTGTATATTTAAGATTTTTCTTTCTTTCTTTCTTTGTTTGTTTGTTTGTTTATAAACGATATGTTTGTTTCTTAATCATGAACGTTGAGATAATATTTATACTATGTTAATTCATTAATATTTTCATAGATGTGCCTATTTAACCAGCTGCTTGCTTATAGACAACAAAGGCAGCATTTCTTTACTTCCTTTATTATTATTATTTTTTTTTTTTTATAATGCATTATAATGCATATATATGTATATGTGTTACTAAACCAAGTATCTAAATCTATTTTTTTTTTTTTTTTTTAAATATTATTTCAATACTTAAATAAAGCACAAATAATATACGTATACTTTTAATTATGATAAAGTTCATAAAAATGAATGAAATAATAATAATAATAATAGAAATGTGTGTATTGTAAAACAATGTAAAATCTTACTAACATTTTATTAAAAATTGTCTCTTGGAAGAACTTTTACTTTTGATATTTATATACTGTTTATTGATAAATAAACAGACTTATTTCAAATGAAATAATATAAAATGGAAATAAAATGAAATGTATTATTAGATATGCTTGAATATATTCCTACACGAGGAAGAGAATTATTTGAATGATTCATTTGCATATAGTATTATTTTTCTTTTTTTCTTTTTAAATATCTCTTTTGAAGAGTATTATTTCATTGGTATAATATATTAAGGCATTGATTTAATGTATGTAACGTTGTATGAGCCATAGCTTTAAGTACTAATAAATCTGAATCTAAATTCATACTAGAATTTTCAATAGATTGTGCCAACGCAGCATTATGTTTTTCAACTTTTCTTAATTGTTCTTGACAATTAGCAAAGGCATCGAGGATTTCTAATTTGGCAACAGGATTTCTGCTTGCATTAGTAGAATGTTCTCTTGGAGGTAAAGGTGGATGACTACTAGCTATTGCTCTTGTATACATTTCTGTAACTGCTCTCAATTTGTCCACCCATTCTTGTCGTGCTCTAGCATCAGTTGCTCTTAATTTGATCATATCTCCTTAATTAATCATAAAAAAAAAAAAATCAAATTGATTAATAATATATGATTATATGTTAGGAAAATATTTGTAATAAAAGCAAGGTTTACCTGTGGCAGAATTAACTGTAAATGTATTGGAATCTTCATCACTAGGTGCTATTACTGCTCCAGCTAAATATATGGAACAACGTGGTCGTTGATTTTTCTCAGATTCAGTAAGATAATAATGCAATTCACCAGTTTCAGGACTAAGTATAAACCAACGATATTGCCATCCTTTCATTGCATTTGTATATTTGTGTAATAAACCCTCGTAAGGGAATCTTATTTGAACGTTCATTATTTTTCTTCTTTGTCGGAAGCCTTTTGTTTTGTTTTTTTCTTTCTTTTTTTTCTTATTTTAATGAAATAATACACAATTATGATCGATTGTCATCTAATATAACACATTAAAAAATAAGGTTAGGATTGTTAAGTTGTAATTGTACTTTGTGCATGCTGATAAGAACGAGATAATCAACTAGAGACCTCTGGTGTTTCGTTTCTGTTCTATTCTATTTTTTTTTTATTAAACTATATTAACTTATATTTTTGATATTTGTTTTTTCTTTTTGCATGAATATAATTTGAAAATATGATTGTAAACAAATTTTATTTTATTTCTTATAAAAATGCATACACTTGTTAGAATTATTTTTTGTTGATTAAAATTACCCTTCAAAAATATATGTATAATTATTTTTTTTTTAAATGAAAAAAAAAAAAAAAACAAACAAACGAAAAATAATTAAAATAAAAAAACAACTTTTAAAGTTGAATCTTTTTCTTTCTTTCTTTTTTTTTTAGATAAAGTTTCAAGAAATTCTTATTTTGTCATCATTAAGAGTAATTTCCAGTTTCTTAAATATATATATATATATATATATATAGATCAATAAAATGGATATAAAATCCTTTTATTCGTTTATATATATCATTTTATGTTGTACTATTTTTTAATAAAAAAAAATTATATTATTTATTAAAAAATAGAATAATACTCTTCTCATCATTTTATCTAAATTTAAGAAGTCAACATTTACGTCATCTGTATTAAAACATAATTATATAATGTAAATTTAATATCTACTTATAAAGTAATCAGATATCTTTGATCCATCTTTCGGATAACTGTTGAATTTTTTGATAAGAAAAAAAAAGAAAAATAAAGATTTTCATACATTGATTTGAATATTAAGATACTGGAATTGTTATACTTAATAATAACATAAATCTAATGATATAATTTTTAAGAAGGTGGTATTAAGTTTTCTTCAATTAATTGACGACGAACATCTGGAAGTTCAATCTTATAATTTCCACTATCATCCAAATCAATGATCTTAGCTTCATAAATTTCATCAGCTTTAACCAATTCTGAGATCCTTTTTAATAATTTAGGAGAACACAATTCAATATTTTCTTCTGGAAGTAAATCTGTTCAAAGAAATCAATATAAACGCGTGAAGTTTTATTTTGTTGATTTAAAGTCAATTATTATCGTATATAGATTTATGTGGATTTTATATATGTAATATACTTACTAACAATATTGCACATGTTTGCAAGATAACAAGGTTTTAAAAAGTCACTTGTCATTGGCCTAACATTTTCGTATAGAACTTCTTCACAGTTTCCATAATCAATATAAAATAAAGTAACTGTATCTTTTGATTCGTCTACAGATAAACATAATGCACGATACCAATTATCTTGGAATAAGGCTAAACATAATTCATGTAATCGAGGAATATAATATTCTGTACTTTCGCAGTATTCTTTCATCTAAAAGAAGATAATTTAAATTACATATATACATATATATCATTATATAATATGTGTATATAATATTTTCATGAAAACATAAGATTAGAAATATATATGTTTGAAGATATACCAATTGTGGCAAAATTTCATGAACATGTGTAATCAATTCAAGATCTAAATTACACATGAAATATTCCGAATTCTCTTCGATTACATGCAAAATGACAACTTTGACAGTATCACCAATATTTCCCAAAGGAAGTGCATCTATATCAGTAACCGTGTAAACCGTTTTATCTATAATATAATATTATTTTTATATTAAAATATAATTTCATTATAAATCTCATACATTTAAATAATAAACAAGAGATATTATTACCTTCTTCTATTTTCCAATTTGGTACAAGCAATTGTTTAATATTGTCATTAATACTTTCACCATTTGGCATAATTAAATGTACACCATCTATATGTGGTATACCATTAAATTTACATGTTAAACCTACTTCTTTACCAACTAAATCACTTAGATAATTTGATACTTCTTTGGTCATAGCAATATCGGTTGATACATCTTTTAAAAGAACTTTTGTAACACATGATTGATGCTATATGGTAAGATAAAGATATTTATTAATTATTATAATAATAATGATATCTTAATATATATAAATTACATGTCACGTTGTTTGTCCGCAATGGACTCTGAAACTACTGAACCGATTTTAATCAAATTTTGCACACTGTGTGCAGTTTCATCTAACTTGAAAGATAGGATTGTTTATATCTCAATTTATAATTGCAATATTATTTGTTTATTAACAAAGAGTCATGATTATTAGACGTGTGTATCGGACTGATTTGTGAGCCACAGCAACGTGTGGTGGGGCACACCTAGTATATATATATATATATATGAATAAAAATGATTTTATTACCTTCTTTAAATCGTCAGGTAATACTCGTAAATTTTTCCACTGCGTTTGTTCAGAATTTCCAAAATCTATATAAGTAACGATTGCATCTTCTCCCTGTATTCTTGCAACTATTGAACGATAAAAATTATTATCAATGTATTGTGATATTACTGTATCTCCCACAACTGGAGGTTTTTCAAGATATGCAGCTGAAAGAAAGTAATGTTAAAAATGAACAAAAAAGTATCAAAGAAATCAATTTTTGATCAAGTTTGAATAATTTCAAAATATACCAGATAGACCACATTTTGCAACTTCTTGCATAAGTTTATTAAATTCTTCGGAATCTTCTGTTTTCAAAGAACGTACAAACATGGTATAATGATTTAAATAGAAAGTGATGCAAACCTATATACAAAAATAATGATTTTAATATAATGCTTATAAAACAATAATATTTTATTCTTTTAATAAAACTCAAACCTGGGATTCATTTTTCAATTGAACGCACTGAATATCACTTGGTTTTAATTTTGGTTCCCATACTTTTAAAATACCTCTTATCGTATCTATTTCGTTCAATTTAATTTCAATATTAATTTCATTCTCATTATTTATTACTTTATATTCGTAATAATTATTTGTCTGTAATTCATGAAACAAATGTTAGTATTAATCAGTAAAATCTATAAGTATAATAAATAATATAAGATTTATATAATACTTACTATTAATATAGTATCATCATTTGCATTTATTTCGCAGATCATACCGAATGTGCATACATTAAGAAATTCATTAGGATATGGCACAATTTTTTGAACTGTTATTACTTTAGTTTTATCTATTGCAGCAAACTGTATTTTTGGAGTTAAAGTTAGCACATAGCCTCTATGCCAATCACTGATCTCTCCTCCTTGGCCACATGCTAAATCTCCAATATTTGGCCTGAAAAGTTAGAAAATAAATAAGCATATTAATTTAGTATTGTACATTAAAGTAAAAATTATTTTCATTTAGAAAACTTACTTATATTCGTAGTTTAATTTCATAGAGTTACATTTTTCAGGTAATTTTGTTATAATTTCTTGGAATTCTTGAATCAAATCATTCGGTCTAAGGGTAATCCCATAAATATTGTTACTAAGTAAAATATTAACTTTTAAAAATCCACTTGCATTTTTTGATAATAAGTTGATAACATTTGGTAAGTGACGTTGTATTACTTTATTCTCGTTTTTATTATTTTCATATGTGTTCATGCCATTTGGAGAATAATTATTTTTCTTATCATTACTCTTTTTTGTTTGATTATTAGTATTCATAGACGGATTAGGAATAATTTTGCAATTATTATTATTATTATTATTATTATTATTATTGGTAGAGCTTGTAACATTTGTAAATTTTAATTGCGTTTCAGGTTTTGAAGATTTTGTTGAGCTTTTGTTATTATTTTCATTAATAACGTCTACAAAAATGACATTCTCATTCCAAGAAATAACTTTTACAGCTATAATTTGATATTTTTTTAAACTTCCATTCTTTACTGATGCATGTTTATGTAAACATAATTTTCCTGCAAATGGTATCATAGTCTTAAATTCGCTTATGTCACGAAATTCATTTACTTTAGCTGTCTCAGTAATACCAAGATCAATCAAAAATACGGTTGTTGGATTTAAAGACATTATCTTTGCCCTGTGCCACATATTATTATATTTGTAACCACACATAATACCAATAACTGGATTAATTTTCGGACTTTTTTGAATTATATTTTGTATATCAATCACCATCTTTTGATATATACTTTCTTGATCCAATTTACGTACCCAAAAATCTTTTCCTTGTGTAAATTCTAAAATAATAACATGCGTAGTTTTTGAGGTTGATAAGAATGTATTTTTAAAATATGCTTTCTGCTGTTCTTGAGATTTCATTTTAAAATCATTTTTTTGATTTTTACTCTTATTTAGAATTTCTTTCTCAATTACATCCAATTTATATTCTTTTTTCATTTTAATATCATTTTGATTTGTATTCTTCTTATTTAAAATTTCTTTCTCAATTACATCCAATTTATATTCTTTTTTTTTCATTTTAATATCATTTTGATTTGTATACTTATTTTGAATTTCTTTCTCAGTTACATCCAATTTATGTTCTTTATTTTTGATATTATCATTCTTGTGTGTGACATTAATTTGAGAATTATTGTCATTTAGTATTTTTAAAGATTCTGGTTTTTTATCTTCCATACATTTGTTATTTATGCTCTGTAGATTTGGATTACTTGAAGATTGTACTTTTGGTCGACGTAATTTTTTCTGAGCTTGATGTAAACTTGTTATTTCCATTTGATTTTCATTACTTGATGTCGATAAAGATTTATTATCTTCTGTCAGTACACTGTAAAAAAAAAATAAGAAAAAGAATAAAGAAGAAACTTTGATAACATTGATAAAATTCAGATAACAAATTTGTATTTATTTTTGTTTAAATATACTGACGGAATTTGTTGACATTTAATTTTATGATTTGGCCAATCAACCATTTGACATTCTTTGCTACAATAAAAAGAACAACATTTTCCACATTTCACAGCTGTTATTTTGTTACAACATACGCATATTTCAAGCTTTTCTTTTAAATTATCTTGACCATATTCATAAGAATTCTACAATACACAAAGAAACAAAAAAAAAGAAAAAAATCAACAATATATTCATTAAATAAAATCCTATATAATAAATATACAATAAAAGTAATGATTATTACATTACTAAGATTTTCAGAATTTTGTATAGTCCGTGATTTGTTCAAAGAATGTGGTTCAGATGTTTCATACAAACTATAACCACGTCCAAGAGAAACATGTCTTTTTCCATCACGTGTTACAGTTACTTTGCCCCTGTAATAAAATATATTGACTAATTTGAAATATCATTTAACATTAGTACAATCAAATATAAACAAACCTTGTCCATAATGTATTTTTATAATCTAAACATTTTGTACTTTCATATGGATCAAATAAATAATTATCCATATGTACTGGTTGATATAACAAACCATAAGCTGTATCATGTTTATCATTAGATATTATTGATAGTTGATTGTATTTATGAAGTATATTACTATAGTTTGGTAATTCCATAGTTTCTTTACTATATATAAATTTCATATTTTTATTAGACTTATATTATATAATAAATATTAAAACTGTTTAATGCAACTTACTTTACTACTTCACGAGGTTGATGATCTAATACTGAATTTGTACAAGTTTCTGAAGATTTTGGATTATACGTTATCTTCTCGTTTTGATCAACAGATTTCATTTTATTACTTAATTTTACTTTTAAACTTAACGGTGGTATATCGTGAAGATTTCTTATAGCACGTTCAGCCTCACAAAATGTTTTATATGTAATATAAGCCCATGATACATTCGGAAGACAAAAAATACTATTAACTTCACCATAATGATCAAAAATTTGTTTAATGCCATCCTAAAACATTATAATAATAATAATAATAATAATAATAATAATAATTATTATTATTCATAAAAAACTAAATAAATAAAAAATTTATTGAAATGAACTACCTCGTCCAATTCTACAGGTAAATTAGTTACATAAAGTCTGTATTCTTCAGAGTTTCTGTAAAATTATTAATTAATAATTAATAATATTATATAAAATACTTCCTTGAATAATAATATTACGTTGGTGAATATTTCTTACGTTATATCATCTTCTGTTTTGTCAACATTAGATTGAAAATAAGCCATACTTTTTTATTTTATAATGTAATCTATGATTATATTAATTATTTTATTGAACGAGCTTTATTTAATTCTTAATTAAATAAATTATTAGAATTTATTTTAAGCAAAACACGTGTTTAACTAAGTACGATACATGCTTAAAGTTTCGCACAAGTATAAATTAGACAAAAGAACTAATAGAAATAATATGAAGTAACTGATAAATCTCGTCTCCCAACAATTTTAAATAAAATAGGGAAATACCGTAACTTTCGATTATCGAAATATTACTACTATCGATATATCGATATCTGTACCAATATTCAAAACGCAAGAATAAAGTAAACAGTTTAGGCAAGTCATTTGGTAACCTATAGTAATAATGGTGATATTTTAATAACTAATTGTAAATATAAAGAAAAAAGTATAACCTCAAGATAATTAATAAATAATGTAATACATTCATATATAAATATATGTATTTCAAATGATTTATTTCACATTACAATTAATTGCGATAATGACTGAAGGAAATGTATCGCTCAATGTGAATAGGTTAGAATAATATAAATTGCGCGCGCATGTTTAATGGCGACAGAATCGTGCGTCCACTCGTTAAAGTGTAAAAATTGTTCCAATTTTCAAACGTTTACATTAAGTTGCAGTGACAAGCCAATTTGTTTAGTTTACCATAAGTGCAATCAAGCAATTGAATTTGATTCCATTACCAGGGTTTTATACAACCAGCAAGACGAAGCTCAAAATGCCATTGGTAAGTCTGTCATTCTTTAACATTTACATTTTTCTTTTTCTTACATACTTTTAACTTTTACAAATTTCTACCTATGAATATACTTTATTTATCTATTCCTTTTTTTATTGCAAGTAATACATTTGAGAATTACATCAATTATTTCTTCTCTTTAATTAACCTAATTTCATTAAGTTTTAATGGTTACTATTTTCTTTCATTAAAAAATAATTGGGTGCGGTTTTAATGGTTAGAAATGGTAACATTAAAAAAGTAATGAAATTGCTTTTATTAAAAATGGCATTTATATTTTATTAGTATTATGAGTACAAAATATACTTGTGTGTGTAACTATATAACTATATGTACACGTAGACTGTTTTAATTGAGTCACTGTGTAAAGATAATTTGTAGGGCAACCACGCTGCCCTTACTCCTTTGGAAGATATGTCAGCAGGGAGAGGTCAAACGGGTGGAGGGCCTCTTCAAAACTGTCAAAAAGTTTTTATACAACGAGATTATAGCGAAGGTACAATGGTTAAATTTCAAACACAGTTTCCAACAGAATTGGAAAGCAGAGTACGTAATATTATTATCCATATCAGTATGTTATTATATTAATATTATTACTTACTATTACTATTACTGTCATATATTACAGTTTAATTGTAACTTTAAACATATAGAATATTTAATTATATTCGGATACACATATATTATTATACGTTTTTTTTTTTTTTAAAGATGTTTACAAATTTTGCCTTATCATTTTGTTTTTTATATTTTCCTAAATATGTGCTACATATTTTGTTTTTAAATATAGCTGGACAGACAGTCGTTCGAGTATACAATCAATCAGTTGAACAATTACTTTGCTGAAGCAGAACGTGCCAGTTGTTCAACTTTCTGTGAGGGCTGCCTTGCTTGCCTTACTGGTTATCTAATCTTTATATGCACTGAAACACATTACGAGAAGTGCTTGCGAAAGGTCGCTAAATTTGTTTGCGAACAAAATGATAGAATTTACAAGCCACGTGGATTATTGTTAACAGATCCAACGACTCGTGGTCTCAGGCTAATAGAAATCTCTGTATTAGACAGACCTGCATCGTGACTGCATGTTAGCCGATCTACGGAATTCTTCATGTGACCCGCGCATTTCTGCCGCATTGCCAGAATTAACGACCTACATGCGCTAATGGAAGTCTTTGGACACAATTATGCTGCGCTCTGATATAATTCAAGTTGGTCGTGCATAATTCATTTTTTCATATAAAAGAAAAAATTAAAAAAAGATTTAAAAGAAAAACCTAGCAAGAAGATTTTAACAATACAACAACACAACTTGCACAATTATCGTAATCGAAGAAAAATTCATGTGCAATAAGATTTAGCAGCTCTCTTCTCGAGTCTAACTTTGTACTTAGGTTTACCGAACATAAGTATATATATATATATATATGTATCAAAAGGACGAATTAATGCTTCTAAATTATTATGAAGCAAAAAAAAAAAAAAAGTCTTTTACATACGTTTACTCGAAGAATCAAAGATATATTCGTTAAGAATATTTCTAATTGAAGAAGAAACATTTTCTCAGAGCTTACGATTCAATTGAAACAAAAACAACATTTCATTGAAATATGATCGTTGATCGTTTTCTATATTTATTCTCTTTTCTATTTATTATAAATATGTAGTTTCTTTGTTTTTATTTTTTTTTTTTATTTTTTAATGGCAAGAAATTCGTGTGTGTGTGTGTGTTAACCGTTATTTTACGTTTAACGATAAAAACGAATTGAAAATGATAACATATAGATATTAAAATCACGAAGCAATTTATAAGACTAAAACAAGAATCATTTAACTTCTTACAATCATACATTAGAAGGTCATATTAAAAAAAAAAAAAAAAAAAAAAATAACGAATCATAAATGATTAACATATCCCGTTTTGTGTATCATTTAGCATATAGAGCTGTTGATGATTACAGACTGCATTTATTCGATGATGTTGTATTCACGAATGCAATCTATAAATCTATATAATCTGTGTTTTATAGTTAATTAAATTAATCGCAGATTTTAGATAATTATATTTCATTCTGAATATTTCTTATCGATTATTACTATCAAAGGACTTTGACTTATACGTTCCGAGCTTTATATGCATTACAAATGGAGCTTTAAGTTTTTTTTTTTTTCCTCTAAAATGAGAGAGATATATATATCTTCCAGTAAAATATAAATCTCTTTAATTTATTTTTCTTTTTTCTTTTTTCTTTTTTCTTTTTTCTTTTTGAGAGTAATGAGACACATGCAAGCTGGCTCATTTTTTCATTTAATTTTTTTTTTAAGTTTCTTTAAAATACATATTTATGAATGATGAGATTTACTTGCCGTAATGAACTCTTTCTCGTGAAATGAAATTTAAGAGAATAGAGAAAAAAAAGAAAAGAAAAGAAAAGAAAAGAAATAAAAATAAAAAGAAAATAATAATAGTAATAATAATAATAATAATAATAATTCTAATACTAATACTAATATTAATATTATTAAAAATAATAATAATAAAATAATAATAATAATATTTGGTCGAAATTACTGGCACATGGTAATTAATTGCGCTAAGAACTCCAAAGATTGGCTAATAAAAATGAGAGAGAGAGAGAGAGAGAGAGAAAGAGAGAGATAAATGATTGTATTTTGAGGTGATATAAGTAGGATAATAAAATAAATTAACTTTTGACGTGTACGACATTGTGATCAAGGATAAGAAACATAATGCATGGCATGCACTATGTTAATAAGTGTTTTCGACGTTGTCAAAATAAATTCTTGCATTTCGATTCATTGCCAGGGAAATTAGGATTTTAATTTTAATTTTTTTTTTATTTTTTTTTTTTTTTAATATTTCTTTATCTTGATTTCTTTTTCTTTAGATTTAAGCAAGAATCGTTAAGTTTAAGGCTCTAAATAATCGTCTGTAAATAATAATAATTATTA